AGGAGAAGGTTGAGGATGAGGAAGAGGAGGAGGAAGGGGAGCAGAAGCAGGAGCAGGAGCAGGATCAGGAGCAGTAGCAGAACCAGGGGTATGAGTAGGATGAGGAGGAGGATGAGGAGGAGACGGAGGAGGATGTGCAGGCGGAGGAGAATGGGAAATCCAATAATAATACGACGACGGCCACGAATTCACATATTGTGAAGAGTAATACTTGTCATACTACTATGACTACTAGTGAACACGGCTCATACTGTTATTATTCAACCATGGAGTGAAGACGAATCCGATTAGTCAACAACTTATTACTTACCGTACTACTAAGCATACTGGTAACACTACGACAATTACTTCGACTACTAATGCTATTACGGATCATAATATTATGCGTACATGAAATATGAGCAATACGACAACCAACACTACGACTCCGTGACATACTAACACCACTGCAACTACTATTTCGAATGCTGTTATGAAAACGAAGCATACTACAATTCAGATGAATGGTGTTTCAAAGACGACGCAAGCGTTTACTTCTAGCCATGGTAGAAGAATGACTGCGAAAACTAATACTACTACTACGGATAGTAGTGCGAGTACTCATGCTACCAATAAGGCTACTACGAGGGATACTAGCAAGTATACGTTTAACACAACTCACAACGATATTGGGACACTAGGAAGCATTCGTATACCAAACTAGTAGCAACATATATAATAGTAGTAACTATGATACTAGTAACACTAATAACAATGATGCGGCTGCTAGTTTTACTATCAATGATACTGGTAGCCGTACGAATGATAATGCCCATACTATTACGACAAAGCAGAATCATGCTACGATAAAACAAACTAGACATGATACGGAGAGACGGAGAAGGAAGAGGACAACAAGGACTATGAGGAGGAGGATGAGGAGGAGGAAAAGGAGGAGGAGGCGGAGGACAATGAGGAAGCGGCGGAGGAGGAGGAGGCGGAGGAGAAGGAGAAGGAGGCGGGGGGGGGGGGGGGGGGGGAGGAGGAGGAGGAGGAGGAGGAGAGGAGGAGGAGGAGAGGAGGAGGAGGAGGAGGAGGAGAGGAGGAGGAGGAGGAGGAGGAGGGGGAGGGGGAGGAGGAGGAGGATTTGGAGGAGGAGGAGGAGGAGGACGACGAGGAGAAGGAGGAGGATGAGGCAGAGGAAAAGCAGGAGGAGGTGGAGGAGGAGGAGGAGGAGAGGTGACGATCAACATGGTGATGGTGATGATGATGGTGATGATGGTGCTGATGATTATGATGATGATGCTGCTGCTGATGTTAATGATGATGATAGTGATGCTGCTGATGCCGATGGTGGTGTACGTACTGCTGATGATGGTGTGGACGATGATTATGGTGACGATGCTGAATGTGATGATGATGATGGTGGTGATTCTGATGATGATGCTGATGATGATGATTCTGGCGATGATGATGGCGATGCTGATGCTGCTGATGATGATGGCGATGATGTGGATGATTTTGGTGGTGACGATGATGATGATGATGATGATGATGATGATGGTGATGATGATGATGATGATGATGCTGATGCTGATGCTGATGCTGATGATGATGCTGATGATGATGATGGGCTGGCCCTGGAGTGCGTGCGGCAGGCTGATCGACGAGCGGCCTTAGTCTGCGCCGACAGTATCTCGCTGGCTGCGCACGGGCGAGGAAGTTGATGCTGATGCTGCTGATAATGATGATGATGCTGATGATGCTGATGCTGATGCTGATGCTGATGCTGATGCTGCTGATGATGATGCTGCTGACGATGATGATGATGATGATGATGATGATGCTGATCATGATCATGATGATGATGATGATGATACTGATGATGATGCTGATGATGATGATGATGATGCTGACGATCATGATGATGCTGCTGCTGATGATGATGCTGATGATGATGATGCTGATGCTGATACTGATGCTGATGCATCTGCTGCTGCTGATGATGATGATGATGATGATACTGATGATGGTGATGATGATGATTATGCTGATGGTGATGATAATGATGATGATGATGATGATGATGATGATGATGATGATGATGATGATGATGATGATGACGATATTGATGATGATATTGATGATGATGATGATGATGATGATGATGATGATGATGACGACGATGATGCTGATGATGATGATGATGATGATGATGATGATGATGATGATGATGATGATGATGATGATGATGATGATGATGATGATGATGATGATGATGATGATGATGATGATGATGATGATGATGATGATGATGATGATGATGATGATGATGATGCCGATGATGATGGTGATGATGATGCTGATGATGCTGATGAGTGTTATGACGATGGCGAGTTGGAGAAGGAGGGGGAGGAGGAGGAGGACCTGGAAGTCAGAGTTCACCTCGCGGTGAGCGCGCGCGCAGGTGGCGCTTGGCACCAGTTTGCCGGACACGTTTGCCTCCCTGATCGCCGCACAGGCGAGGCGGGGCGTCCAGAGTAGGAGGGGGAGGAGGAGGAGGAGGAGGAGGAGGAGGAGGAGGAGGAGGAGGAGGAGGATGAGGAGGAGGAGGAGGAGCAGGAGGAGGAGGAGGAGGGGGAGAAGGAGGAGGAGGAGGAGGGAGGAGGAGGAGGAGGAGGAGGAGGAGGAGGAGGAGGAGGAGGAGGAAGCGGAGGATGACGAGGCGTTGTGGGAGCCATGGGCGTCGCCAGCAACACTGCCTTGGACTCCTTACAGTGCTCCTCGTGCAATTTTTCTGCGTGGGATAGGGGGCTAGGATGAGGCATCACATGATGATGATGATGATGATGATGATGATGATGATGATGATGATGATGATGATGATGATGATGATGATGATAATGATGAGTATGATGCGGATGCTGCCTCTGATGATTGATGCTCCTGATGCTGGTGATGCTGCTGCTGATGATGATGAAGATGCTGCTGCTCCTGATGATGATGATGATGATGGTGCTGATGATGATGCTGCTGATGATGATGAGGATGATCCTATAATGGATGATGTTGCTGCTGCTGCGGATGATGCATCTGATGATGGTGATGATGATTCTGTTGATACTGGTCATGATGATGCTGATGATAATAATCATGATGCTGATGATGCTGATGAATATGATTATGATAACGGTGCTGATGATGCTGATGCTGATGATGATGCTAATGCTGATGATGACGATGACGGTGGTAATAATTATGCTGCTGATCATGATGACGTTGCTGATGCTGATCTTGATCGTATTTTTATGATGATGCTGGTAGTGCTGCTGCTGATGATGATGATGATGACGATGAAGCGAATGATGATACTGATAAGGATAACTGATGGTGATATTGATGATGCTGATGATGATGATGATGATGATGATGCTGATGATGGTGATGATGATGTTGATGTTGATATTGATGTTGATGCTGATCATGCCATGATGATGATGATGCTGATGATGGTGATGATGATGATGATGATGATGATGATGATGATGATGATGATGATGATGATGATGATGATGATGAGGGTGAGGACGACGACCACGACGACGTCGGTGAGGTGAGCATGCAATGAAGGGAAGTGTTTGCAGGATGTGCCCGAGCATAGGAATTCACCGCACACTTCAATTGCGCTGGTCTGTCTCTCACAATGATCAGAGGGATCCGACATGGAAAAGGCAGGCGGATGCCGAGGACAGGGAGCAGGCGGAGGGGAAGAGTGCTTTCTCCAGGGAAGAGGCGGAGGACCGGGACTAGGAGTGTGGTGAGGAGATAAGGAGAGCAAGCATGAGGATACAAAGGCATACAGGGAGGAGGACGGTGGATGGGGAGTGGGTGGGGGAGAAAGTGGGAGAGGCTCAGGAGGTGAAGCATGTTGAGCAGGTGGGTGAGGAGGAGTGGGAGGAGGAGGAGGAGGAGGAGGAGGAGGAGGAGGAGGAGGAGGAGGAGGAGGAGGAAGAGCAGCTTCATCAGCTTGAGGCGGAAATGATGAGGAAGAGGAGGAGGAGGAGGAGGAAGAGGGGATGATTCTGATGATGATGATGGTGATGATGTTGCTACTGCTGATGCTCATGTTGATACTGATGATTGATGACGATGACGCTGGTGAGCGTGAGCGCGATGAGGCTGCCGCTCATGCTGTTGCTGATGTTGATGATACTGATGCTGATAAGGACGCTGCTGAGGTTGATGATGATGCTGCTGATGAGGACGCTGCTGCTGCTGATGATTATGATGATGCTACTGATGATGATACATACGATGATGATGATGATGATGATGATGATGATGATGGTGCTGCGGATTGCAATGATGATGCTGCTGATGACGACGATGATGATGATAATGATGTTAGTGATGACGACAATGCTGATGATGACTATGCTGCTGATGATGCTGTTGATGATGATGGTGGTGATGGTGACGGTGATGATGCTGATGCTGACGACGATGATGGTGATGATGAGGATGATGATGATGATGATGATGATGATGATGGCGATGGTAATGATGATGCTGATGATGATGATTCTGATGATGGTGATGATGATGATGATGATGATGATGATGATGACGATGGCGATTCTTGCGATTCTGATGATGATGCTGATAATGATGACGATATTGATGATGATATTGATGATGCTGATGCTGATGCTGATGCTGATGCTGATGCTACTGCTGATGCTGGTGGTAATGATCATGATGATGCTGATGCTGATGCAGATGATGATGATACTGATGACGAATCTGCTGGTGATGCTGATGATGGCGATGATCATGATGATGCTGATGCCGATGATGCTGATACTGATGATGCTTACAGTGATGCCTATGACGAATGTGTTGATGCTGCTGGTGCTGATGCTGATCATGATGATGATGATGCCAATGACGATGCTGCTGTCGATGATTATGCTGGTGCTGATGATGGTGAGGCTGATTTTGATGGTGCTGCTGATGCCGATGCTAATCATGATGATGCTGATGCTGATGATGCTGATGCTGATGATTCTGATGCTGATGATGCTGACGCTGATGATGATGACGGTGCTGATGATGATGCTGATGGTGTTGGTGTCGCTGATGATGATGCTGATGCTGATGATGCTGCTGCTGCTAACAATGATGACGATAATGACGGGGATGATGGTCTTGATGATGCTGCTGATGCTGCTGATGCTGATGATGATGATGTTGATGCTGCTGAGGTTGACGATGCTGATGATGATACTGATGCTGATGACGATGCCGCTGATGATGCTGATGCTGATGCTGCTGTGGCTGATGATGGTGATGATGCCGGTGATGATGATGGTGACGATGCTGATGATGATGATGATGATGATGATGATGATGATGATGATGATGATGATGATGATGATGATAATGATGCTGATGACGATGATGACAGTGCTGATGATGATGCTGATGATGCTGCTGATGCTGGTGCTGGCTGGTCACGTTGATGGTTGTGATGGGATTGTGTTTATGATGCTGATGACGCGACTGCTGATGACACGGTTGGGGTTGTTGATGGCGTTGTGGTGGTCGATGATGTTGGTGATGATGGTGCTGGTGAAGTTGGTGATGCCCCTGCTGCTGCTGGTGCTGCTGCCGCTGATGATGCTGAGGGGCGGAGGGACGTAATCGTTTCACCCCCGCTCAGCAGCGCCCAAAGGAGCTACCCACGGCCGACGACGCCATCGGCCACCGCCCCCCCCCCCCCCCCCCGCAGGGATTGATGGGGATGAGGAGGGGCACGACGATGATGACGAGGAGGCCGCGCTGGGCGGCGGAGCCAGCGCCATGCCTAACTGCAGCTGCATTACATCCAGATTTCGCTTCCAAGGGAGTGCAGGGAAGCGCGAACCTTCGAGGAGGAGGGGGGGGATGACGACGGTTGATGTTGCGCATGGTGGAGAGCGAGGTGGAGGGACATGATTTGAAGGGTGCTGAATGGGGATGTGGGGGAGGCATGAGGAGGGTGGCTGGAGAGGATGAGGACGAGGGCGACAATGGGGACAGGGATGATGATGATGATGATGATGATGATGATGATGATGATGATGATGATGATGATGATGATGATGATGATGATGATGATGATGATGATGATGATGATGATGATAACGATGATGATGATGGTGATGCTGATGATGATGATGCTGATGCTGATGCTGATGCTGATGCTGATGCTGATGCTGATGCTGACGATAAGGATGATGATGATGATGATGATGATGATGATGATGATGATGATGATGATGATGCTGATGCTGATGCTGATGCTGATGCTGATGCTGATGCTGATGCTGATGCTTCTGATGATGATGATGATGGTGGTGGTGATGATGATGATGATGCTGGTGATGATCTTGATGATGCTGATGATGACACTGATGGTGGTGGTGATGATGCTGATGATGCTGCTGATGCTGATGATGATGGTGATGATGATGACCAGCAGGAGGAGGAGGAGGAGGAGGAGGAGGAGGACGAGCTGGGGTGACGTGGGATGACCGAGGCAGCGGGATGAGGTGGATGAAGAGGAGGATGACGAGGAGCAGGGGGGGGGATGCGCGAGGAGGGAGGACGAGGGATGCTCTGGGGAGGAGGAGGAGGAGGAGGAGGAGGAGGAGGAGGAGGAGGAGGAGGTGGAGGAGACGCAGGCAAAGCAGGAGGAGGAAGGCGAGACGGAGGAGTAAGAGGAGGAGGAGGAGGAGCAAGGGAATGCAGGAGGAGGATGGTGGAGGACGGAGGAGGAAGAGGAGGATGGATGAGGAGGAAGATGATGGAGGATGCAGTGAAGGGAGGATGTCAATGAAGCAGGAGGGAGAGCGAAGAGGAGAGATGATTCAGGAAGTGGACGAGGGAGTAAGAGGACGAGGGAAGACGATGAGGAGAACGCTGCTATGAACTTTCTGATTGCAGCGAGGACGGCTTGGCTCGATTCACATGCACAGCGGGGCGTGGAGGCGGAACAGGAGCGTCGGACATTCAGACTGTAAGTATCTCGTGGAGTGGGGACGAGTGTTTCCACCTGCACCTCGTTCAGCTTGGGGGCGGCTGTCAACCGAGCATAACTACACATGATACAAGCCAGTGACTGCGGTTTTAAACATGCAGGCAACAGGCTACGAGCGCAGCGATCATCCATTACAATCTCCGCCATCGCAAACATGATTGACCTGACTTCGGCGACACGGAGTCATGTCCTAGTGCTGTTGTATGTCAAGTTTGTTGCTCGGTTGTCTCTCTTTTCGTGCACCTCGCGTTCTCCTCCAGGCCTCTCCTATCTCCTTCGCGTTCTCCTCCAGGCCTCCCCTCCAGGCGTTCTCCTCCAGGCCTCTCCTCCAGGCGTTCGTTTGTCCTGCCTCTCCTTTCTCCTTCGCGTTCACCCTCTTTCTCCTCCAGGCTGGCGGGCGGAATGCTGATCGGATTTGATGGTGTTTGAGGAAGGTTTGG